CACATAAATTGCCTCAATCCCAAGAACCTTCCTCACTTGATAAAGGATTGCTCGAGTCAATTGTTATTTGTGAATATGCTAAGGTATCACTTTAATCTTTAAAAAATTTATGTTTGAAAAATTCAATATCTCTTGATTCCACGATAATATTAGATTCAACATCTAATAATCGATGACTTTAGTGTTTTCAGCATATCCAACAAACACACTTTTTTAATGCCCTTGCCCCTAATTGGGTTCACTTAGGATTAGAAAATTCTATAATATGCAAAGCATTCCCACACTTTAAAGTGTTGAATATTTGGTACCCTTCTTTTCCATAATTCATATGGTGATATCTTAAATTTCTTTGAAAGAATTTTGTAGCACATATGATTTGCAGCAAAAAGTGTTTCTCCCCACAAATTGATTGGCAATTTTGCTCGTAAGATCATGGAATTAATCATGTCTACTAAAATTCAATTCTTTCTGTCAGTCAATCCATTTAGTTGTGCTATATAAGCTGCACTTGCTTGATGCACAATACCATTTTCTTCATAGGATGCAGAGAAAAATGTTTGAAGTATTATCCTTGCCAATCACTTCTAAGAACTTTGATTTTTTTGCATCCTTTTTATTTTTTAACTACTCTTTTATATACCTTAAACATGTCAAAAGCTTGATCTTTTGATTTCATAAGGTAAATATGAGAATGTTTAGAGTAATCATCAATAAATGTAATAAATAATGATTTCCACCACTAGTTACAACACCATTCAATTAACAAATATCAAAGTGCAACAATTGTAATACTTTAGTAGATCTTTCTACCTTTGAGAACGATTTCTCAATCATCTTTTCTTGTAAACATATTTCCAAATCCTTCTTATCCAGATTATCAAATGATATTATATCACCTTTATGCATAAATTTCAAAGTATTATAACAACATGAGATAATTTGTTATTCCACAAGATAGATACTCAAGCATATAAGCAAAAATAAAAGTTTCAATAATACTTATCTGTCAAGATTGCAAGCATATGCTACAGCCGCTATCTCCATATCTATGCAAATAATACCTTAAGATTGTTAGGGATTGACAGAGTAGTAGTTAAGGTATTGTTTGCACCCTTTATTATTACTGCAACATTTAAAACATATATACCTTCAAGATATTCACCAAAACTACAAAGAAATGAGTTAAAAATTACTCAATTTCTCTCTTGGAATTCACCTTGTGTGTGTTATTAAAATTGTGTGTGAAAAGCAAAAAAGAGAAAATGTCGTGAAGAAGAGAGAGTCGTTGTTATTATGAACAAAGGTGATTGTTGGATATGAAAAAAAAGTGATTATTGACACGAAGAGAAGTGATGGTTAATCATAAAAAGTGGTGATGTTAGGATAAGATACCTATTCCAAAAAGATGTGTTGATTGGTTGTATGTAAATATGACCAAATCACACATTATTCACAACAACAAGAAAACAATTCTTTTTTCTTCACAACGTTATTTCTTCTTCTCTTTTCACAAACAAGTTTGATAGCACATTAAAGGCGACAATTAGACCTGTTAAATGGGTCTTAAAATCCATATAAGACCCATTTAAAAAAGGAAAAATTTCAAATCAGTACCCAAAATGAGGTCATTTTCTCAAAAAAGGGTTCAAAGTGGACATAGTGCCAAATAAGAATCTGAAGTGCTCAATCAGTCTCAAATAGGGGCCCGAAGTGCCCAATTAATCTCAAGTAAGGGCCTGAGTTCGCCGGCCGGTCAAATGCTCACCAGCGGGCAAGCATGTCACTATTACGGCGATCAGAATAATGGCAATTTCGTCTTTTACTTTTTAAAATTTTTTTTGTTTCTTTTTTCCTTTTTATGTTTTTTTCTTTTCCTTTTCTTCTTCTTTTTTTTTTCCTCTTTTCCCTTCGTCGGCCATAGCCGGGGCTAGCGGAGGTTACCGACCTCTGGCGGAGGCTACCCTTGCCAGCGTCGGGCGAGGATCGCCTTCACTGGCGTCGGGCCTCTCTCGCCGGCGTCGGGCGAGGGTCACCCTTGCCCGCCCAGCCTAGCCCAAGCAAGGGCGACCTTCGCCCGACGCCGGCGAGGGTCGCCCTCGCCTGCCCAACACAAGCAAGGGTGGCCCTCGCCTGCCCAACCCAAGCAAGGGCGGCCCTCGCCCGACGCCGGCGAGGGCAACCTCCGACCGAGGCCAGCAACCTCTACCGGCCCCGGCGGAGGGAAAAGAGGAAAAAAAAAAGAATGAAGAAAAGGAAAAGGAATAGAAAAAAACGAAAAAAGAAACAAAAAAATTTTAAAAGTAAAAGACGAAATTTCCCTTATTCCGATCGGCGGAACAGACGTGCTTGCCAGCTAGTGAACATTTGACCAGTTGGCGAACCCGGGCCCTTACTTGAGACTAATTGGGCACTTCGGGCCCCTATTTGAGACTGATTGGGCACTTCATGCCCTTATTTGGCACTATATCCACTTTTGACCCTTTTTTGAGAAAATGACCTCACTTTGGGTATTGATTTGAAATTTTCCCTTTAAAAAAATAAATAGGTTATAAATAGGTCAATACAACTTTAAAGAGTTCATCTTAAATGGGTCTTCATTAAGTCTATCATAAATGGATTTTAATGGGTTGAGTGTGAAACTCAATTCCAACGCACCCATTAAGCCACCCCCTTTTTATAAAAATATTTTTTTTTTCAAAAATCGAAATTATTTTATATTTTCTTTTCTTTTCTTTCTTTTTTCTTTATTTTCGGTTGGTGGCCATAGGGGAGGACCAACCTCGCTGGCCTGTAGCGAGGCTGGTGAGGCTCGGATCGCCGAAATCGAGCAAGCCCAGTGATCCGAGCCTCGCCTGAGGCCGGCGATGCCGAGGCATTGCCAGATCGGCGAGCTCGTCCTCACCTATGATCAGTGGCCGGTCGCCATGGCCGGCCATCGGCCAAAAATAAAGGAAACTGAAAAATAAAAAATAATTAATAATAATTAAAATTTCTATTTTAAAAAAATAAATAAAATAATAATTTATTAAAATTATTAAAATGCATCCATGAAGTAAAATCAAATCAGATTTTATATACCAAACGTCGAAAAATATTTTCTAATTCATTTTCAAGTATCAGCCAAACACTGAAATTTTTTTTATTTTCTTGGAAAATGACTTCATGGAAGATATTTTATAAAAATGTTGCATTTTTCACGAAACAAACATAACCTCAATTTTTAAAAAAAAATTATAAAAATTGTTCACTAGTTTTGTATTGTATGAAAATGTTTTAGTAGTTTAATTTTTAAAAAGAGTCATAAGAAACAAGTTTTCCTATATTTAGTTAAATATAAAAATATTTTACTAATATGGGTTGAGTCGGGTATGGGTCGGGATATTTATATTACAAATAAATTGATCATAAACGGGTTAATAGGTCAATTTGGGTCAGACCATTTATGACCCGACCCAAACCCGACCGATCCGACCCACCTGTTTAACAGGTCTAGCGACAATCCAAGAGGGAAATTGAGTCATTGCTGAACTTACTTTTTTATGGCTTTGGTGTATATTGTACAAATGTATTTGCTCTAAACCTGACAATAACAATAGTGTAGATAAATAATATATTAAGGACAGTGATTGTCATCAAGCATCAAAGAGTCAAAGAACTATAAACTACTGTTCAATCTTCATCAGCAATCAAATTTCCCCAACATTTGATTCCTCAAAGTTAGGTCATAGCAACATCCTTTCCAACCCTCAACTAGAGCAACAACTTCCTTTTCAACCATGAACTAGAGAGGGGAAAGAGATGTGAAATTAGCAAGGTTATCATAACAAGTGTGACCAACTTTAATGTTTCAAAATGTGACATGTTTCCATAAATGTAGTCCTTGTTGTAAATTAACTAGGTCAAATCATTCCTAAGTTGCAAAACTGACAAAAAAAAACAGCCATTTCATTTCTTATTGTGATAGAGTCTTCATAATTGTGACAATGTGCACAGAGTAGACTCTGCTCTCTTCAGAGTTGGCAAATTTTTTACTAGTAAGGATATTATTAACGAGTGTTTTTTAGCACTTGTCGATTTATAAAGCGTTTACATAACAAGAGAAAAACAGGGTATTGAAAAATTGGAAACTATCTTTAAATGACTTGCTAGTACTATCTTTAAATGGGTGATTTACATCATCTCAGAATTTTTGCTTTCTATAGAGAGAGTGGTTGGAACAGGTTGGAATTTTCCTTTTTTTTTCTTTTGCTTCACTTTCCAATATTCAGGAAATTAACTCAGCTGTTGTGGTTTTGTAAATAAATGGACTATTGATCTTATGACCGTTTCTTTGTAGCATTTTTAGTTAAGGAACCTAGCACAAGAAAATATCAGATATTTTTTATTTACAACATAAATGGTAAGCTTCGCTAAAGAAATTACATCGGCAGTGTTAATTACCTGAATTTGGGAAAGAAAAACCCCAAAAAAGAAAAAGAAAGATTCCAGCCTGTTATAAACGCTGTCTCCATAGAAGCAAAAATTCCAAAAATCCAGGATTGCATCAACCACCAACTTTGGAGAATGGACTCCATGATGTGAATCACTTACCCAATTTTCACACTTTCATGGAATATGTACCAAGATTCATGCTAGGTTCACTGGATTCTCCGTGCCACCAGATACCCTTTTTGCCACTTAGTAAATCTCTCTATGCATTTACATGAACTAGAGACAGACAAATGTTCTCTGATTCACTTGTGCATGTATAGATAGGTGGAAATCAGCCACAGAGGCAAGATTCTGCCTTGAGAACCAGTTGACCACTTGAGAAGAGAGTACATGTAGTGATTGTTGAACTAGAGAGGATGACAGGTTTCGAGGTTGAAGGTGCAAAGTCTACTAAAAAACTGTCCTGTAAGTCCCTCATCCATCACCACCAAAGGCATTGCATTTCTTGCTGAAGCTTTTTCTTTTTGTGGTGTTAAATTTTCAATGAATCATGAAATTCAACGTCAGGATTGTGATTCCGAAGCACTATTATGAAGGGGATGGCAAACAATCGACCAACCACATCGATGATGTTTTTCCATAACAGAGAAGCAAATCGAACAATATTTAATTCCTCGTTCAGGTAAATTACACATCCCGGAGAATTGAGGCCTTTCAAACTCCTATCGTTTCTCACTTTGGGCCTACTCATAACATTGTGAACTTCCCGATTGCACAATTGGTTGGGACAATCCTTGATTTGAGCCAACTATTTCGCCACAGCGTGATGGCTAGTCACCAGCATCTAACTGCATATGTGACCCAGCCCTGCTACCAGATGGAAGCCCATGAACATGCCCCGGTGACAATGTTTTCTACAGCGCCTCAATCATATAGAGAGTCGTCAGCCCCCTCAGGATGTTTGGAAAATTCGGGTTCTATTCCTAGATGAACTGGTCTTCCTCATTGGATTGCTCGCCCCTTTGCCTGTCTGGTACCTGTCGCAGAGATTCCCTGACAAAAGGTGGATTCAATACTTTAACATGCCAGTCATCATAGGCTCACAAGCATACCACCGGCCTCTAATGGGATAGAAAACGGTTGTCGTACGTGGCATGATCAATGTAGAATGGTCGTGAACGGATTTTTTGCAATTTTTAATTTTTTTCTCTTTTTTATTTTCTTTCTTTCTTTTTCCTTCTTCCTCCACCGGTTGGCAGGCCTTGGCAATGGTCGGCGACCAGCCACAAGCAAGGGCCGAGCTCGCCAGGCTCGAGTGAGGCTCACCCTCGCTTGTGGTCGGTCGCCAGCCATAATAAACGGCAGAGGAAGAAGGAAAATAAGAAAGAAAAGAAAAAAAATTCATAACATTAAAAAAATGAAAAAAATCATCCGAGCAGTGCCGCATAGTACAGCGTCCACATCGGCAATTGTCAACCAAAATTGGTCAATTAAATTAGATTAGCAAATCGTCCAAATGTTTAAGACTAAAATTGATACAATTAAAAAGTTTAGGACTGAATGAGCTGCCGTTTAATATGTTTAAGACTTTTTGGACAATTTTCCCAACATATGGATATTAGAAGTGCCAAAAGTTTTCCTCGGCTCACTCTAATGGCAAATCGGAGAAAAGACTAACTTAAATACCTTCGGCGCCAATAGGCATGCGACCTTGTTGATAAAGGGATTAGGGGTGTGGTCGGAGAGTACTAGGTCCGGGGTTCAATCCCTGTGAGTATCGCACACACATTTACATGGAAGAGAGGAGTGAGATAAAATAAAATAAAAACTGCCTCCGGCGACAAATTCTAGCCAAGAGTTATAAAAGTGAGAAGTGAGATAAAAAAAAAAAGGTGCCTCACAAATTCTAACCAAGAGTTATACATGGCTTTTTTAATTACAAAATAATTCATACGTGACTTTTTTTTATTCAAAACAAGTCCAAGGTAAACAATGATGTGACCGGATTCTTCATAAACGATGCCGTATGAGCCGATTTTGAACTTTATTCATTATTTTCGTTATCAGTCAAGCCATGAATCACAGTTTGAGGATTACATGATAGATGAAGATGGTGGAAGATGAACGAGCTTGATGGTCATTTTTATGCTTGTTGCACTATCTGATCTGAATCTTATTGAAAATCGACCACATCCAACTCAACGTAATCTATGATGGATAGCGGAATTCAATGACGAAGAAGAGCGACTCTGCCTCACTCAACTTAACAAACTAACTCCGGGCTACCGATTGAAACAAGGAAGGTCTCTGTGGCGGTGAAGCAAGAGGTGGGAGCAATGAGGTAATCTGAACAGGAAACACTTAACAAAATGGGAATATGAGTACGAAAACTGTACACGAAGCGAAATCGGACATGATGATATATAAAAGGAGATGTTTGACTTATTAGCTTACCGGTTGGAATCGGAACCCCTCTAACTGAGATAAGCGCATTCCTACGGTTATTGGCTGAGCATAATCGAATTCTGCGAGGCGACATTACTGCTGTTTCTCTTGGATAATTTCACCGAACGCCTTCTGTGCATCGTCTAACGCATGGCACCTCCCATACTTCGACACCGCCAAATTGAACTCAAACCGCTACCCTCAAAACAATTAGCACCGACAACCTTTCGGACCGACGAATAGCGAGTCTCGTTTGCGGCAATGAGAAGACAACAAAGCAGAGCATAGGTGAAGAGGTGAATTTGAAAATGAATTCGAAATCTAATACATGAGTTTAATCGGGAAAGAGACGACCTGATAAGAGCGACTATAGAATGACGAATTCCGTCGTTGCCTGAACGTCCTAAGAAACTGGCCGTCTATGAAGATTTCTCTTTTCTCCTCTCTCCATGTTTAACATGCAGTGTATGTCACAGAGATTGAAATGGAGCCGGAGTTAATTGTCGAACTTAAGGACGCGAGCCTCTTCGCCTACAGATGACAGAACCCTTAATCCTAGTCCTCGAGCTTCTGTCTCCCGTCTCGAAGAAGCATTTGCACCGATGAATCCACCCGGCCTACTTGCGCGACTCTCTGATGTTGTTTTCCACGGCAATCGGAGGTTGATTTAGTTCGAGCAAAGGTCAGGCCGCCGCGAGCAGGCGGAGACGTCTGAACACTCGAATCGACGGAAATGTAACTCGGGCGGGGAAGAAATCCAGGGGATTTCAAGTTCGAGCTTCGTGCGTCTTCCATGATCGGAGATGGAAGACCAGCGGCGGTGGCTACCAGCGGAGCTGGCGGCTGGCTGTGGAGCTAGAGAGACGTGAGAGGCTACCGGTGCCAAGAAGAATCCCAATTTCCTCGTTTTCTTGAAAGAGAGCGCGATGCTTTTCTCCCCGATTCTCTGCTCTCTCTCTCTCTCTCTCTCTCTCTCTCCCCCTGTGAAAATGGCCTCCTCTAGCGTCAGAACTCAAGAGTTGCTACAGTGAAATTCCAAGTAGGGTTTTAAGAGAGGCTTGATACGGTTTTACTAAAAAGGGAAAAGTGCATTCGAAGTGCCTAACTATGTCAAGAAAATGCAGTTGACTCCTAAAACTTTTAAAAAGTGCAATTAAATTTTAAAATTTATTAAATTGTTCCAATCAAATCTTTCTGTTGATTGTACTTTTTGAAAGTTTAGAACTCAATTGCACTTTCGAAGTTTTAGGATTTAATTGCACTTTTTGAAAGTTCACTTTCATGACGAGTTTTAATATTTTATTGCAATTTTTGAAAATTTTAGGGTTCAATTGCACTTTCATGATAAATTTTAGGACTTCCAGTGCACTTATTTCTACTAAAAACTTGAATTGGCTTTATCTTATTTGTTATTTATTTTTACATTGACTCTTACTAAAATCTAAATGCACATTTATTTTCTTCACAAAATTCGGGTGTCAACAACGTCGGTTAAGGAAATTGATAAAATATTGCCACATCAGATTTCCAGCAATCCAAATTGAAGTTGGCACTTAAGTGATCATTCTTGTTTGAAAATAGCGCTTAAGTGATTTGATGAAAACTTTTGATACCAAAGTGAACGCCTTACGAAATTTTTGGCAATTTTAGTATCCTTATGCCCAATTTTCCCTATTAAGATTGGTTGCATTAATTCATTCTTCTCGTTGTTATGGCTAGCTGCCAATAATTCGAGTGGGATTTTGTTTGTAGTTTTATGATTGTATCTAAATCGTAGGATATGATCTTTACAACGATCCACATAACTTATCATATGCATACACGTTATCTATTTCAAGAATGTACTTTCATTAGGGAATGATAAACAATATCAAAGGTTTTATTAGAATTTCGAGATAATTATGGATTTCTCTAGCATAGGAAATTATCCTAGAGAAATCCCTAATTATCCCTTGATTGATATTGTTAATTGGGGGTAGTCAAGAATAAGGGTAAAAGCCATCAAAAACCATAAATTATGCCGACTGTGACACATTTATCCGAAACTTTATTTGTGAATCAAAAACATTTGGAATTTTTTGTGTCATAAAAAAAGTTTAGGGTAAATGTGTCATAATGAACATAGTTTGTGAAGTTTTTTGTGGCCTTTTTTCCTAAAGAATAATAATGCTAAAGAGAGAAATAAAGAAATTTGCGTATATTTCTATTTATATTGAAGAAGAATACATGAGACTATGTATAAGCTTTATTAAACTACTATATAAGATAACATATTAATAAAGATATTCAAAGGGAGATATATGCACAATCTTAAAAGATATAGAGAATAACATACACAGTAATGATGTTATCACTTCGCATAGACCGTATATAAAGAGAAAACGAATACTTATATGTCAAAGTAAGAGATGATGGAAAGCTGAAACGATTGATTGTTTCTTCGTTTTCCATGAAAGTAGTGAGTGTCCCAATTTGACGCAGAATCCTGTAATCGATTTTCTACTCATAGGGCACGTAGCATTTGTGTCGCAATATGCCATCATTTCCATGTTGCTATCCCAAGACAACAGTATTCCTGATCCCGGACTTCCTTCAAGTACTTTGCTACTTTCAATGCGGCATTCATGTGAGACTATTTGGGGTCATGCACGAATTGGCTGAGAATTTGCACCACATAGCATATATCGGGTTTAGTCATGGTAAGATAGTCAAGGATCCCCTGTCTCTAATAGACAGACGATCCTTGAGTAGACGATCCTCATTTTGGGGTGGTAGTCCCTTATCATACTTAGCCGTCGTTAACTTGACATTCTACTCAATTGGAATGACTTATCCTGCTTCTGATGTTATTTCTAGGACAAATTTGCATTGACTGAGACAAATTCCTTTATCCGATCATGCAATCTTTATCAGAGGTCCAAAATCCTTAAGGCAAAAGGTAGAGTGCAGGTACTTCTTAAATTCCTTAATGGCGGATTCATCATTCCCCATAATAAGTATATTATCAACATATATGAGTCAGTAAATTGATGATGTACCTTGACTCTACATGAATAAGGCATAGTCGTGCCTGGATTGCTGGATTTTTGTAGCTGTAAGTGCAGTGATGTTTTTAGCATAATACTGACGATTTGAATCTATATAGGGATTTACAGAGACGACATACTCAATTCACCCCTATCTGCGTAAACCTGGTGGAAGATCCATGTAGATTTCCTCTCATATATCTCCATGGAGAAAAGTATTGTGAACATCCATTTGATGTGGAGACCAATCACAGAAAGTAGCAATGGAAAGAAATGAATGAACAGTGACTTCTTTTGCTATCGGAGAACAAGTCTCCTTATAATCAAAGCCTTTTCGGTGTGTGAATCCCTTGGCTACTAGTTTCGCCTTATAGCGCTCAATGGAACCATCTGCCTTATATTTGATTTTGTAGACCCATTTGCAGCCAAGGGGTCGTCGATCAGGTTGTTAAAGAAACGAAATCCCTGGTCCCATTCTCCATTAGAGCTCGTAATTCATCCGTCATGGCTTGTTGCCAACGAGGATCTTTGACGGCCTCGTTGTACGATGATGATTCCTATTCCTTAGAAATTACACTAATGCAGCACATATATTCTGATGATAGATGAGCAAAGCTAACATAAGAGGAGATATGATAATGTGTACCAGATAAGCCTAAGGCAAAACAAATATAATCATTTGTCCATGTGGGTGGTCGCGTTGCGCAGCCTAAACGTTGAGGATGAGCTGGTGTAGACTAAATAATATCGAGTGGCTCATGAGAGATATGATCCGAAGGAGTTGGTGAAGAAGCCACGGGATTCTGAGATATCATTATTTGTGAAGCACTAAATCGCTCACTATTCTTATGCGATGGTGGACTTGGATTATTTCCAGATACATGAGGTGCCACGGGAGATGTCATATGGGGAATCATGACCATCTGTGAAGGTGATAAATCTTCTTCACTTAAGAATAGACGGTGATCGGTAGCCAGGCCTAGCTATCATTGTGAAGATAGCACATCACGTCTCTATTGACAAAAATTCGTCCGATGGATAGATCAAGGACCAAATATCCTTATAAAGAGCAGGGTATCCCATAAATATGTACTTAAGGGCCCGAGGACCCAACTTGTCCTGAGGACTCGCAGTAGAGACGTAGCATAAGCATCCAAAGACGCGGAGGTGACGAATATTTGGATGTTTCCTAAAGAGCAACTCGAAAGGAGTTCGTCCATTTAGAATATGAGTTGGCGTATGATTCATCAAGTAGGCTATTGTGATCACACAATCTCTCCTAAATGTTTCTAAAATGGAAGCTTGGCATTTGACGGCACAAGCAACCTCTAAAACATGACAATGTTGTCTTTCGACAACCCATTTTGTTGAGGTGTGTAGATATAAGAACTTTCATTAAGAATGCCATTCAAAGTGAATAGTGAAGAACATTCATGATTGAAGAATTCACGAGCATTATTAGTATGAATCCATTGTACGATTTATGAAACATTTTTATTGAGGTAAAAAAAATTCATAAGATGGAAGAGAACTTGGGTTTTGGATTGCATAAGAAAAATCCAAGTCGCACGTGTATGGTCATTCATAATTGTGAGGAAAAAACAAGACCCATCATGACATGGAATGTGATATGATCCCCAGATGTCCATGGGTAGAAGGGAAAAAACGGCATTAGCAGGTGATGTGTTTTAAGGGAAAGGCAATCGTGATTGTTTAGCCAATGGATAGATTGAACACTTGGGATGAGGAAAACAAACACTATGACCCAAACTTTGATGAGATAGCAAAACATTATTATAAATGTTGGCAATACACAAGGTGCCCTTATTCAAGGGGAAATACGAAAAATCAAGATTTTTGGGAAGTTTAGCCCAAAAATAAAGTCCCTCGTGATTTTTATCCAAACCCATCAATTTCTCAGTCGAAAGGGCCTAAAAAAATATACGTCAGAATTAAAAACAATTCGACAGGAATTGTTCTTGCAAAGTTTAGAGACAAAAATGAGGTTAAATTGACATTCGGGAATAAGGACATTTTTCAGTTTGATCGATGAATTGAGCTGAACATCTCCAATCTTAGTGACAGAGGTGTCATTTCCATTTGGAAGGCAAACTGAAGTATTAGGAGATGATTTATGAATAGGGTTAATACCACGAAAAATCCTAAACTGGTACATCTGTGATAATTTTACCCCGAACTATTTTTTATCACAAAAAATCCCAAACTACTACACCGGTGACAAATTTACCCCGAACTATTTTTTTTTACCATCAAAAACCCCAAACTGGTACACTTGTGATAATTTTACCCCGAACTATTTATTTGACCACCAAAAACCCCACACTGGTACACCCGTGATAATTTTACCCCCGAACTAATTTTTTGACCACTAAAAACCCCAAACTGGTACATTTGTGACAAATTTACCCTCTGTTAGTGTCCGTTAAATTATATTAATATCACAAAAAATCACAAATTGGTAAACTTGTGACAAACAGAGGGGTAAAACCCAAAATCGGTACACATGTCAATTACCACGTGTCATTAAACTTAGCAATTTGACAGTAAAATTTAACGGAACTAACGGAGAGTAAATTTGTCACAGGTGTACCAGTTTGGGATTTTTACTGGCCAAAAAATTAGTTCGAGGGTAAAATTGTTACAGGTATACCAGTGTGGAGTTTTTGATGGTCAAAAAAATAGTTCGGGATAAAATTGTCACAGGTGTATCAGTTTAGGTTTTTTTGTGATCAAAAAAATAGTTTGGGGTAAAATTGTCACAAGTGTACCAGTTTGGGATTTTTCGTGGTATTAACCCTTATGAATATGGGAAAGGAAACGTTCATCGCAAACTATGTGGTCACTAGCACCCGAATCAATAATCTATGATTTAATTAAAATAGAGCTCATTAAGCAATAGGAGATACCTACATAGCTAGCCGTTTTGTCTTAAATTCTCAATTGTCTTAAAGCTCTCATAATTTG